AAATGACATGATCGCATATGAATAATTCAGCTCTCTTCCGAGAACATTCGGGGCTTCAGCTGATGTGAAGATTAAGAAATGTTTGGCCCGTTTAGACCGATTGGATGAGCATAGGTAATTGACTCCATCCTTAGAGCACTTCGTGTTGAACCCGAAAGATTGAAGGTGTCGACCGGGAGCTTAGCATGAAACATAAAATAATAAGAAAGAGCAAATCTGCTGTTCTAGATGAACATTTCTTAAAACACAGTAACCAACGCCTTGTAGCGAAAGTACTGAAATTCCGCTGATGCTGCAGTGTTCAGCTTTTCATCCTTTTCTCTGTACAAAGAGATACTTATCGCATCCTTGCATTCACTTGGCATGCAGACAGCGGTTCACATTGGAATCTCGCACTGACTGTCATGAGGGCTATTTCAAAAACGTCAGTTGTATCAGTTCGATACGAACGTGACCTGATTTTGTGGATAGCTGCATAGACTGTGGCCAGCAGAGATGGCGGCGTGCCGGTTTCCGGATTAGGCTTAAAGACAGCGTCAGCATCCATTAGTTCTTGGCAAACGCGACCGAGCGAAGTTCAGAACTGCTTTGTAATATTCCAGTCGACAAACTGGAATGACATTTAGACATTTAAGGTGCATACGTTTCCATTCATCAATCCAACTGATGCTGCAGACTGTCATACGATCCTCCCTGAAAGTAATTTGATAACTCGATATCGGTTCCATGCTGTTATGCTGTATTCCGTCGTCAGAGTCTTTGCCTCTCCCGCTTGTCTCTTGTGGTGTGCCTAATGGTCTGTCACAGCGTTGAAAACGTATAGTAAACGTTGCTTTGATATGCATTGGCAATCTTCATAACGATTCGGTCTTTAAGGGTTAGAAGCTGAACTCTCATCTGAGTGCTAGACTTGTTTTCTTGATTAGTTTCAAACCTAGCATTTTTCTGCTGACTTTGTGTTGGAGAACTGTCCTAGGTAGCGTCGATGTTATCGGACTCGATTTGGTGGAGGGGATGAAGGCACCTGAGCTGCCCTGCTATTTTAAAGAGGCAATCGACATTGTGCAATATGTTCAGACGACGAATTTGCCCTACTGTTGCGGCAGTACGCAGATCTTGGTTGCCGCTAGTCAGAGGGCAATTCGAGCAGATGCTTTTGTGTCACTGCAAACTATGTTTCTGTAAGAGATCAGGATGTGATTCATATCACTGACCGTTGATGGTGTTTAGAATAGCGGGTCTACAGGTAAATTCAGGTTAAATAGGCATTAGGTTGAGATAAAAATATGAGATAAAATTCAATGCATTTAGCTCAGTAAATTGTTTATGAAATACAATTTCAAATCAGTATTTTGTTCCGCTAGGAATATCTTCAGAAGACGCACAGCATATACTTACATGAGGTGTAATTTTGTTATTTATGACTTTCCAAAAATTCCTGATAGACTCGAAACTGCGTCTGCTTTTACTCACTTCGCCGTACAGCTTATTATGCTAGCGAACGGCCCGTACGATGAATTACTAGTTGATGCAGTTCTTTTCGTCAAGTGTGAATTCTCTGTCAGAACATACGCGATTATAATCGGGAGAAGACAGTGAGGGATGAAAAGTGTGCGAACTTACTGTGTCCGGTCTGCCAGCAGATTAAACATTGGTTGAATGGCTGCCTAATTACAATCGTCATTTTATGTTCGTGCTTAAATCCTCCGGAGTACCGTTTACATGGTGCCGACCGCTACTCGTGAGACGAGCTTATGCGATTCCTGTTAAGAAGATATCGCTCTAAGCCTGTGTTCAGAGAGGAGCCCGACCTGCTGAGGGTCAAAACAATTAAAGTGGCTTCCCAAAGTACTGAATGTGAATTCTTGATGGTCATGTTTTGACAGGAGGAAATCGAAATATTGCCATCTTCGTTAGAAAATTGCATTCGATACGTCTCCCTGACAACTGACAGTATGTAAAATTGAAGAAGGGTTTGACCCACTCTACGAGTTGAATGTTCCTATATACTTTATCGGGTGGGACAGGCGATAACGCAGCTGGAAGGTTCAGCGGCGTCGTGTATAACACAATAGATGCATGCAAATCAGTGTATATAAAGCTAAGCAACAGCTTTAACCACAAACCGAGCAGTAGATGATTTTGTTTTTCTGTTTTGCTGATGAAGAGCTCGATTAATGTTATACAGTAAATCATTCCTGAAACTGTAACGTTGTAGGCATGTAAGAACCTGTTGATCTCTTCTGACACTTGTAAAACATTAATAACGTGCTCGTCTTTCTGAATGTCGTAAAGTAAATTTTTTCCTCAGTTTAGGAAGTTTGCTTTCAGAATGCAGGCTATCAAGTGTGTCGTTGTCGGTGACGGGTACGTATTCAATTACTTGTTCACTTAAGACAATCTATTTTAGTGCCGTTGGTAAAACATGCCTGTTAATTACCTACACAACAAACTCATTTCCTGGAGAGTACATTCCAACAGTGTAAGTGTGTTTTCACAGTGTAATTTTATTTTTTTAATGAATATACTTGCTCTGTGTGGTGAATACTCTTATAACTGCTTTAGCATGTACTATTTTTTGGATCTTACCGTTTCTTATTTAGTTTTCTTTTCGTAAAGTGTTATGAGAGCTTTCCGGATGTGCTGGCTATATTTTTCGTTATCTGCTGTTTGGCAGCGATGAGTGAACTTTTGCCCAATTTCTGTACTGTACGTAAAATGAAAGCTTCTTGAAATGTACGATTCCATATACGGTTGTTTGATACACTGATGATCGAAAACTAGTTCAAAAGTATCATTTTTGTTCGTGCAAGCGTTGAAGTCAAATGAAGGACATCTTTCTGAATCATTTGCTTTTTCGAGTTATAAAGCTTAGTTGCGTAGCCTTACAAACCGCACCATCTCTTGAATTTACGGTCGCTTCTTTTGTTATAGCTAATTTGTATTGC